GGCCCGAGCAGCGAAGCGCTGCGAAGGCCTATTGCAATTGTGCTGTTTATTATTATTATTATATTTTTATTCTCCTCCCTAAAGAAGGGTTAATTTGGAGGCCTGAACATATCCCAAAACTCACCAAACTTTACCCAAACTTGTCCCCCGTGTAAAATTTTAGTTTTTTAATGGAACCAAAGGTGGGCGTGGCCAAACTGCTCAGTAGCGCCCCCTCACGTGAGATATTGCCTTCAAACTTGGTGGATATGCCCTTAAGACATTGGGGAGTAAATGTAATTAAAAAAAATTGTGTTTTCATAAATGCTAAAGGGGCGTGGCCAGGACTCAAAGTTGAGCTTCACGCCATAAATTCCCAAACTTTATAACTTTCACATTGAAAGACCAAAATGTACCAAACTTAACATGAGTCATCCTTGTCCGATGCCCGACGATCCTCTGAGGTCATAGTCTGACATCATCAAAGCCCCACCCCCTAGAACAGGAAGTCCCTTTTTTTACTTGGAATGCTCCCTATCTGACACCCTTGACCCAATCAGGATGATCCTGTGTTAGAAGACAGATAGCAAGTTGGTCTGACTTGCTTTAAAGCGCAAAGCGTTTTCGCTGGAGGATGTGGGCGTGGTGGCGTGGCGAATTCAGAAGTGATGCCGTTACAATACGTTTGGCTCTAAATTCCACAGATTTGATCCGAGGTTCATGAAAATCACTATGATCAATCATTGCCCACCCCTTGAACAGGAAGCCATGATAATTGCCCAATAGCCTCTATAGCGCCCCCTAGAATATTTTAAAACCTCAGCCCCAAGCCATTTTTTGACCGATGATTCTGAAACTCGGTGAACATGTGTATCTTCTCAGGACCTATGAAAAAGTCTCTTGGAGCCCCAGTCCAAAACCAACAGGAAGTCGGCCATTTTGGGTCAAAAGTTAATTTTGGGGCGTTTTTAATGGCGAATTTTAACAAACTCCTCCTAGGGATTTTGAAGGATTGCCTTCAAACTTTGTTAATAGGCCTTTAAGACATTGGAGAGGAAAAGTTATCAAAAGCTTTCGGTTTTGTGTTGTTAAAGGGGCGTGGCCAGGCCTCATAGTTGAGCTTCACACCATAAATTTCCAAACGCTATAACTTTCACATTGAAAGACAGAAATGCACCAAACTTCCCATGACTTATCCCTGTTGGATGTCCGACGATCCACTTTCATCATATTGTGATGTCATCAAAGCCCCGCCCCCTCAGAACAGGAAGTCTCTTTTTTTTTATTGGAATGCTCCTTCTTTGACACCCTTCACCTAATCAGGATGATCCTGTGTTAGAAGACAGATAAGATGGTCTGACTTGATTTAAACTACAAATAGTTATAGCTGGAGGATGTGGGCGTGGCAGCATAGCGAATTAAAAAGTGATGCCGTTGCAATACGTTTGGCTCTAAATTGCACAGATTTGAGCCCAGGTGAACCAAAATCACTATGATCGATCATTATCCACCCCTTGAACAGGTTTCCATGATAAGTGGCCAAGAGCCTCCACAGCGCCACATACATTCTTCCTACAGTTCTATCTCAGTGATATAACTTCCGATCTGAACCAGATTTTTGGTGTGTCATTATTGAGCACTGATGGACACATTGGATTTGTTGTTTAATATTTGACTCAAGTGCGCCCCCTACATTATTCCAACAGTTATATCTCAATGATATATCATCCGATCTGCACCAAATTTATGGTGTATTATTTTTTAGCCCTGAGGGACACATTACTATTGTTTTTTAACTTTTGACTCAAGTGCGTCCCCTAGAATATTTAATCAGTTATATCTCAGTGATATATCATCTGATCTGAAACAGATTTTGGGTGCATGATTAGTGAGCATTTCTAGACACATTAGTATTGTTGTTTAATATTTGACTCAAGTGCGCCCCCTACATGCTACATGCTGTATTCAACCGCTGCTCAACTGCCTGGCTGACATCAGGGACTGGATGGCTTTGAATTTCTTAAGTTTCAATGAAAAGAAGTCTGAAGTCATGTTGTTCCCTCCCAACGACACAATCACAAACCACTGCATCGACCTTTCCTCTCTAACCCTGTCAGAAAAACAAAGAGTCACTAATCTGGGTGTGATAATGGACCCTTCCCTGAAGCTTAACAATCATGTAAACATGATCGTTAAATCATGCTTCTTCCAACTGAGGCGCCTGTCTAAACTGAAGCCCATATTGTCCAAAAAGAACCTGGAGACAGTAATATATGCATTCATTACATCTAGGCTTGATTACTGCAATTCACTCCTGTTTGGTATCAGTCAGACCTCCATTGCACGACTACAACTGGTCCAGAATGCAGCAGCCCGATTTTTAACCAGTACAGGCAAAAGAGAGCACATTACACCAGTTTTGGCCTCACTGCACTGGTTACCGGTTCACTTTCGAATCCAGTTCAAAATACTCATGTATGTCTACAAATCACTGAACAGTGTCGCTCCCCCCTATCTCTCTGATTTGCTACAACCGTATGTCCCAACATGCTCCCTGAGGTCAGCGGACCAGTTGCTCCTCACAGTTCCAGGAACTCGTCTTAAGCGCAGAGGTGACAGGGCCTTCTCTGTAGCAGGACCAAGACTCTGGAACGAGTTACCTCTGCTTGTCAGACAGGCCCCCTCCCTCTCGGTTTTCAAGTCCCGTTTAAAAACTCACTACTATTCAATAGCTTTCAACCCAAGATGATCTGTGTTTTGATCCTGTATGCTCTACACTGGTTTGTCGTCATTATCTGCATCATTTTTTGTCTATATTCTGATTTACCTCATTTTTTATTTTGCTTGGTGTGTTACCTGTTGTTTTGTCTGTACAGCACTTTGGTTGGCCTTGTTGCTGTTTTAAGTGCTTTATAAATAAAGTGGTATGGTATGGTATGGTACATTATTCCAACAGTTATATCTCAATGATATATCATCCGATCTGCACCAGATTTTTGGTGCGTCATTAGTAAGCACTTATGGCCACATTACTATTGTTTTTAACTGTTGACTCAAGTGCGCCTCCTAGATTATTTAATCAGTTATATCTCAGTGATATGTCATCCGATCTGCATCAAATTTTTGGTGCGTCATTAGTGAGCATTTCTAGGCACGTTGATATTGTTGTTTAATATTTAACTCAAGTGTGCCCCCTAGATTGTTCAAACTGTTATTTCTCAGTGATATATCATTCCATCTGCACCAGATTTTGGGTTCGTAATTAGTAAGCACTTATGGACACATTGGTATTGTTTTTTAACTTTTGACTCTAGTGCACCCCCTAGATTGTTCAAACTGTTATATCTCTGTGATATATCATCCGATCTGCACCAGATTTTTGTTGCGTCATCTGTGAGTATTTCTACACACTTTGGTTTTGTTGTTTAATATTTGACTCAAGTGTGCCCCCTACATTATTCCAACAGTTATATCGCAATTATTGAGCACTGATGGACACATTGTTTTTGTTGTTTAATATTTGACTCAAGTGCGCCCCCTACAATATTCCAACAGTTATATCTCAGTGAATTATTATCCGATCTGAACCAGATTTTTGGTGCATAATCCATGAGCACGTCTAAACACATTGATATTGTAGTTTAACATATGACTCAAGTGCACACCCTCTCACACTGATATGGGCAGATAGCGATTGTAAAGTTTTGGCATATGTGCCCCCTGGTGGACGCGTGCGGGAATAGCATGAGAAATTTCACGACTGTAACTGGGAGGCATTGCTGGAGCACCCACGGTCACGGCTGATGTCGAAAGTTCAGCGAATGCGCACTCCAGTCAAAGAGCGCGTGATAGGAGCGTGAGCATTCGCAATGGCGACCAGGCAGAGTCGCTGGAGCCCCGCGGTCGCCGTAAGGCCAGAGCGTCACTTTGCTGCGAGGGCCTTCAATGCTGCTTGCAGCTTTAATTTCTTTTGTAATGTTTTGATCATTTTTATAAATAGTGAAAACGTAAATGATCGCTTAAATCACTCGTTAAAATACCTCCTATGACACCCCCATTTGTTATATTTGTGAAAATATTATCGATTATTGTAGCACTATGAGTTGTAATTCTTGTTGGTTTTGATATTAACGGATAAAGATTTAAACTATACAATGAATTTGTAAATGTACTGATGTTATTTGAATCAGTTTTATTTCCCAGGTCAATCTTAAAGTCTCCACACAAAAAAATGTTTTTATTAAAACTCTTGTCCAATAGTTGTACAATTTTTTCGGTGAATATCTCTATATTTGATCCTGGAGATCGATATACACAACTTAATATGTTTTTATCATTATTGTTTATTATTTCTATTGTTATTATTTCCATGATATTATCAACAATTATTGACATTTCATTAATTAATTTACATTTTATTTCATTTTTAACAGAGCCACTCCACCACTCCTTTTATTGCTTCTGTTCACATGATATAATTCATACCCTTCGATGTGAACATTATTTGTTTTCATCGTTGAGCCATATCTCTGACAGTGCTATTATTGTAAAAGTTCAGTTTAGCTGTTTTAAATAATCTGTTATTTTGGATATATTTGCATTTATACTTCTACTATTAAAGTGAATAATAGAGAGACCTCCATTTGTTATATTGATGTCATTAAACTGTTCTTCATTGTAATATTCACAGTCTTTTATTACAGGGAAAAAAATTGTATCGATCACATCTTCAACATTGTATATTTTAAACTCCAAGTCTTCGTATGTTGCCATGTTTTAATGTATTTGTTCATTTTTATATTTTGTTAATTTCTTGTTTGTGAAGTTATGTCAATGATTTATCATCTGTCCTTTCCTGAGCTAATTTAAAACCTCTCAGTAGTGAAATAAATGCACATAATTGCAATACTGAAAGGCCAATCATTAGTCGGTACAATAAGTGTATTTATTTTATTCACTTACAAGAACAATTGCAATATTTTAACTGTTTTCTTGGCTAATTGGACTCTCCTCTCACACAGGGAGAGAATGAACCTCAAGGCTCCAATCTACTTTTCCACAGGGCTAACAGAGAAAGCGAATCATTACTACAAACTTTTCATAACATGGACGAACCAGAAGATTCGTAAAACCTTTGTACAGAGAAACATGTTTGAGTTTAAGCACATCAAAGCCTTCGATCGCTCTTACGCTGACAATCCTGGACCAATGGTGGGTTGTTTTTTAATTTTTACAGCTGCACGTTTATTACATTTCTGGCTGATGACTCAAACTGTGGCAAAGTTTATATTCTGGTCACTTTTCAGGTGGTGTTCGCCACACCGGGTATGTTGCACGCCGGTCAGTCTTTGCAGATATTCAAGAAATGGGCTGGGAACGAAAAGAACATGGTGAGTCTCTCACAGAGCTGAATGCACATTTTGAAGGATGTACTGAAGATAAAAAGCCAACTTGTTTTTAGGTAATCATGCCTGGGTATTGTGTACAAGGAACTATTGGTCATAAGATCCTAAATGGGCAAAGAAAACTGGAGATGGAAGGAAGAACTACAGTAAGATTTTAAACTTATCTTTCTAATCATTTCTGCTGAAAATGCACTGATGAACTTGATATACAATAGTCCCTACTGCGAAGTTGGAATAGTAGTGTAGTAGTACAAGTACAGGGCTTAAAGCGCGCCAGCCCGAGGCCGGATTTCCGGCTTCAGAGTAGAGGATGTTACAGGAGTGGATTTTCACTCCTGTTCCCTCCCACTTTCACAGAAAAAAAATCTTGCCCTGTCTCAATCCCGGGCCAGAGTAAAATAAAATCCTGTTCCATCCCATTTCCGGTAACATGACTTCCACCCCGTACCGCTCCCATTTTTTTTTTTTCTTCATTTAGTCTTTAGGAAGTACACTGAATTTGATTTGATCTTCTACCCATTCCTTTTTATATTACTTTGTGTTCCGCAGTTTTATTTCTGCAATATCACTTGTGGAGTTCCTCAAGGCTATGTACTTGGATCAAAGTTATTTATTTTATATGTGAATGATTTAGTGAATGTATCAGGACTCCTCAAATGTGTCCTTTTTGAAGATGACACCACATTTTTTTGTTTGGGTAAAGATGTAAAACGGATGTTGGAATTGATGAAGACAGAATTTGATAAAATACAAACTTGGTTTAAACTTAATAAATTATCATTAAATTTAGATAAAACTAAATACATGATATTTAGTAACAAAAAAAGAACGGTTGATGATCCATTTAAAATTGAGGGTGTTGAGATTTGTAGAGTTAATGAGATGAAATTTTTGGGTGTAATCGTTGATGAACAGCTAACATGGAAAAATCACATAAATTCTGTAAGAATAAAAATAGCTAAATCTATTATTATTATTATTAGGGAATTATTAAATGATAAAGCTCTGTACATGTTGTATAACACAATCATTGTTCCACATTTAATCTATTGCAATGTTTGGGGGGGAAAGCGTGTAAAACATTTGCAAAGCCTGTTTTTATTTTACAGAAAAGAGCTGTAAGAATTATCACTAGAAAGCATTACAGTCACCCATCAAGCACATTATTTTATCAACTGAAGTTACTGAAGTTCCATGATTTGGTACATTATAGTATTTTATCAGTTATGTATAGGGCTCAAAATAACACATTACCATTAAATATCCAAAGAAATTTTGTTAAAAGGCAAAGTTGTTATAATCTTAAGGGGATAGAAATATTTGTCAAACCAAAATTCAGAACTAGTCTGAAGGGAAGGTCTACCTCAATCCAAGGAGTTGGATTGTGAAATGGTCTAGAGAGATGTTAAAAATGCCAAGTCAGTGTGTACATTTAAGAAAAAGATCAAAGCTGGATTGTTAAAAAAATATATATGAAGTAGCTTAGTGTGTTTTTTGTATTAGAATTAGAAAAATTAGAAAGAGTTATTCATTTTGTTATGTTACTTGAAAATTATTATGATTGAAGTAATTGTTTGAAAAAAGGGGCAGATATAATTAGATTTTTTTCTTCTTTCTGCTGCCTTTCATTTTAAATATCTTGTATCTTTTTTATATTGTTATGGAATTGTTTTGTACTTTTTTAAAATGAATAAACTTTATACCATACCATGCCATACCATTTCTAAAGATATGGCAACAGGAACAGTTCATCTATGGTAAAATAGGCATTTGTTCCTTTTTTGTCCTATTGGTTGGTTCCCGCTCACATCTGTTCCCGTTAACTTTCCGTCCCGTCCCATCCCATCCCAATCACATGAGTAATAATAAAGTTGACTCCCATCCCGCCTGAATCCTGCTGGAATCCCGTAACTCGTGGGACTCCTGAAAAAATGTCACCCTCTACTTGAGAGCGAGAAAGCCCGCTAGTCTGCCTCAACTTAATTTTAGTTGTTAAACAGGGGTTATATCCAATCACATTGAAGCTTGCGTTATCTTGACCAGGTACTAACAGGAAGGTGTGTCATAGAAAAGCAAGCCGGCGTATGTATGCAGCTTTGCTGTCAAATCAAATGCAGAAGATGGAGTTTGTCACACCGGGACAAAATACAGTTTTACTGGAGAGCACAATTAAAAATAAGTGGCGTTCCACTTTCTCCATAACAGGAGGCGATTTCGACACCTACTCAAGTGTCCGGCGCCTCCTACTCTGTTGGACGATTTTTTCCCCTTTGGAGTGAATCGAAGCGCAGGCGCGTGAGTCAAATGACCAAATTCAGTCGCTGCTTCAGGAATGACGCAGCATCTCAGTGACTCCATTTCAATTTGTGTCAAAAATACAGACTTTAAGCTAAACACCTGTTTTTAAATCTTGTTGATAGGCCAAGTAAAACCAGAGTCATGGTAAATAATCCACACCACATCTTTTTTTCTGAAAATCATTGTAAAATATGAAGTGCGTTAGAGTTACAGGCTGCAGCAAAGACTCAGGGACAAAACACCCCCATCACCCTCCACTTTCACCTCCCACCCCCGGCAAACAGATAAACAACCTTCCTGCTCCTTTCTGATGGAGGTTCCAAGTGATTTGTCAAACGCCAAAAAATCTACAGGAAAAATAAGAAAAAGACATGGAAGTTGGATGGAGTTCAGCCCGCGATAGAGTCACAACGAGAGCAGGAGTGAGTGATGAGGTGGGTGATGAAGAGGGTGATCATGATTGGTTTTAGAAGAGGAAAGAGGAAGAGTTGGGCTGAATACACCTTGGCGCATGTGCGAACACTCGATGTGAGTCAACCTGTGTTTTCTGACAGCTGGACGTGAAGCTGCAGGTGGAGTACATGTCTTTCAGCGCTCATGCAGATGCAAAGGGCATCATGCAGCTCATCCGCATGGCGGAGCCTCGTAACATGCTTCTCGTGCACGGCGAGGCCATCAAGATGGAGTTCCTCAAGGGCAAAATCGAACAGGAGTTTAGTGAGTGCCGCTTAAGTCCCAACGTCAAACCATCAGTGTTTTTTAAACATGATTGTATTAGGAGGAAAGAGAATTTCCAGACTTTTCTGTTTTAACTGGCAGGCATAGACTGCTACATGCCGGCCAACGGAGAGACGACCACTGTGACTACAAACCCCAGCGTTCCTGTGGATATGTCGCTCGGCCTGCTCAAGAGGGAGATGGCTCTTGGAGGTAATTTTTTCCTCCCTCGTTACTGAGCGAAGAGGGGGATTTGGAAATACCTTCCATCTCTCTGTCCATCCATCCATGTTGTGAGCATGATAACTTGAAACATAAGTGAGGTACCAACTTCAGTGTTGGTGTGTGGCTGCATCTAGGTGTGAGAAAGGTCACCATGGAAAACTGGGTTGCCACATCTAAATCCAAGATGGCTGCCATCATATGTATTTACAGGTCCTTCTCAAAAAATTAGCATATTGTGATAAAGGTCATTATTTTCCATAATGTAATGATAAAAATGAAACTTTCATATATTTCAGATTCATTGCACACCAACTGAAATATTTCAGGTCTTTAATTGTTTTAATACTGATGATTATGGCATACAGCTCATGAAAACCCAAAATGCCTGTCCCAAAAAATTAGCATATCTCATGACAAGGTTCTCTAAACAAGCTATTAACCTAACCATCTGAATCAACGACGTAACTCTAAACACCTGCAAAAGATTCCCGAGGCTTTTAAAAACTCCCAGCCTTGTTTATTACTCAAAACCACAATCATGGGTAAGACTGCCGACCTGACTGCTGTCCAGAAGGCCATCACTGACACCCTCAAGCAAGAGGGTAAGACACAGAAAGAAATTGCTGAACGAATGGGCTGTTCCCAGAGTGCTGTATCAAGGCACCTCAGTGGGAAGTCTGTGGGAAGGGAAAAGTGTGGCAGAAAACGCTGCACAACGAGAAGAGGTGACCGGACCCTGAGGAGGATTGTGGAGAAGGGCCGATTCCAGACCTTGGGGGACCTGCGGAAGCAGTGGACTGAGTCTGGAGTAGAAACATCCAGAGCCACTGTGCACAGGCGTGTGCAGGAAATGGGCTACAGGTGCCGCATTCAGCTGAGTGAAGCTGACACCCCACCCACTTCCAAAATTAAAGCAAATAGTCTGAATGGTTAGTGCTCCGTTAGTGCTGGTTTGTGCCGTTAAAATTTTCGTTTGTGCTGCTTTGGTTTATGAGATATTAAAAGTTATAATTTTGACCTGT